CATCCATCCATCCATCAATCATCTTCCGCTTGTTCCGAATGTATTGATACATTCCTGAATGTATCAAAGTAATAAAAAACTCAGTTGATTGAGCAAACATCACTAAATATTGTTCACATTTGAAGTAAAAAAAATAAAAAATAAAAAAAAAAATATATATATATATAATTAGACTTTGATATGATTGCCCATCACCAAGTTTTAAACAAAAATCAAGTTAGATCTGAGCGGATCTGTGCGTGTTTTGTGATTATGGTGTCATCTGTCCTGCCCTCCTCAGTGTTTCTCCATCATGTAAGCAGCTCCTGCCTCTACCACCTGTTGTCCATCCCCAGATGTTTGTGTTTATCCCCTCATTAATGTCTCTATATTGTCTGTGTTTCTTGTTGTTCTCCTGTCCGTGGATTGTCCTGTTAAGGCATCATGTTCTGTCTCCCTCCTTGTCCCCTCCGTTCATGTAAGTTTGCTGCCACGTCAGCCTTTTGTTTTGTTATAATAAATATATTTCTTATTTACCCGAGCATCTGTCTGCACTTGGGTTCAACTTACCACCAGACCACAAGATCAGATAGTGCTCAGAGTATGTGTTGGCATGATGCTCAGCTACCACCACACCAAATTTGAGCTCAATCTCTGTAAAATCGACTGCCTTATAGCCGTTTTTGTGTTTGCTGAGGTTGATTAGCTGTGGTAGCCATCTTGAATTAGGTTGGCTCCAAAAAAGTGTCATTAATATCTAGGCAGCGGTGCTTGAGATATTTTACTAACAGACAGGCAAATGAATACTGAGGCACCGGCAATGACGCAAATGTCCCTGTTAAATGACAACAGGCATGCATTAACTGTCTTATTATAAAACTACGTGAATAATAAAAGCATCCAAATGAAGTATTTTCAAGATAAAAATTTAATAGGGAGATAACTTTATAACAAATTTACAATATTACTCAACAAACTATCCAATAAAAAGTCTGATAAACACATCAACTGAAGGTGATTAATATTTTGTGACTTGACAAGTCACAAAATATTAAGTTTCTTCCTTTATTAATGGACTTTGGGAATTAATTTTTAAACTAAAAATAACGTTTAATTAATATGCCAGTTATCAAACGTTTCCAACATGTTTTTTAGAAGCTAGCCTGTTGTGTAATGTATGTATAGTCTGAATTAAATGCTACAAATTTAGCCTGAAAATACTTGTGATCATTCCAAACAATGGAAAGTCTCTTTATTATTATTTTAGGATTTATTTTTAGGATGTTATTGTTTTTATTAGCACTGTGAAAGCATAGTGCACTGTAGCTGTGGCTTCTCGATAGTTACAATGATTTTTATGGTATAAAAAATCTAACTTCCTGTAGCAATTAAAATAAAAAAATAAAACAAGAAAGCCCCAAATTTGTGATAATATCATCAAATTATTCAAACTTTTTTTTGTTTTAATGTGCGTTTTGGAAAAAGCTTTTTTTTCCCCCCTCCACTAAACCAAATTTAATAAAAGCTGAAACATTTGATGAATTTGTAAATCCACTTGGATTCCTTTCTTGAATTATACAATATGAAATACAAGAGATAATACAAGGGTGATAATGTTTTGGTCCATGTCTGATTGTGTTCATGAGTGTCTGTTAACACAATATTTCATGAAGCGCTCAACAAATTTTATGAAACTTACAGAAAGTGTACATTTAAAAACAGACACAAAATGGCCACAAACTCCTGGACAGATTTTAATCAAACTTTCAGGAAGTAATCACTGGATGTACCTCAACAATTGATTCTGAAGACAACCCAATTCAAGATGGCCGCCACAGCTAACTGAACTTGGAGGACACAACGACTCAGTCAGTTTTACAGATACTTTGAAAAAAACAGTTTGCAGCGGAGTTATTTCTACGTTTGACCAAAAATATAAAGAAAAGAAAATAAATACAAGGATTGATAATTTTGTAGTTGGATGAATAGAAAGCCTCTTCAGTCCCGTGTTTAGTACATTTTACTTTGAAGCGCAGCTGAAATACACATCATCGTAAAGAAAAGTATTAAAAAGTGATTTCTTATATTCTTACTTCATCTCAAGGACCTCCTCCAGGTGTTTCCGCCTCTCGGCCCGCAGGGCGGTCAGGTGACCTTCCTTCTCAGCCAGTGAGAGTTGAGTTGATGACAGTTTGGCTTTCATCACCTCCAGTTCCTGTTTCACCTTCTCCATGGCAACCAGCAGGTCCTCCACCTGGCCCGTGCAAATAAAACACACATTTTAATCACTCTCAACTCTTGCTCTTGATTTTTTTTCTTTATGTCTCAGCACGTTGTGTGGAAGAATCTGAGCTGCTGTGCCTCAAAAGGTTTCAATAATCTCCGTTTGTGGAAGGACACGCTCCATTGCAGAACATCCAACGGGTCATTTTCCTCCTCCTTGTTTTCTTTCTCCTCTCTGTTTTGTTTTATCCCCCTCCTCTAACATTCTGATACATATTTTATCTCCGTCCCCTCCTTGCACAGGTTGTATATCACTGTGTCAGTTTAATGTGTGTGAGGTCAATGCGTATTTCTCATGGCGAGACAACAACTTGGCCACCACCCGAAGAAAGACAGAGAGGAAAAAAAGAAGACCAGACGGAAATTTTAGGCGCTGAACCCAAAATCGCTTCATTCTAAATGACAGAACTGAAAATAAAGTTCAATAAATACTTTAAAAAACTGAACAAAAAAGTCTGTGTTTTGATTAAGAAAGAGCTGAAGTCTATTTTATGTGATGGGACAACAATAAAAAGGTAACATACAAATAAGGAAACACACTGGAGGAAGCTCATGAAGAAGCTGTTTACAAGTTTGCAAACAATATAAAAATATCTTAATAACACCAGAAAGTTACAACCTCAGTTCTGACAAAGTTGGAACGTTGTGCAAATAAAAACAGAATGCAATGATTTTCATATTTCATAAATGTTTAAACTAAGAAATGCAATCTTTACCTGGACAAAATAAGGCATTTTCTAATTTTGTGGTAGTAACACATCTAAAAAATGATGGAGCAGGGGCAACAAAAGGCTGTAAAAGTAAATGATATGAAAAAGAAACAGCTAGCGAAGCATAATGCTAACATAGCATTTTAGAAGTAAAGATGGGCAGTGGTTCACCAATCTGTGGAAAACCGTGTTTAAAAATAGTGGAAGAGTTTTAGAAAATTTGGAAAACTTTCATCTAGAATTCATAATGTAATTAAAGATTTCAAGGAATGAGAAACGTTCATGAACTTCAGGTGGAACCAATTTCTTCAGAACTGGGGTTGTACGTTTGTACACAAATTTGTCTGATTGGTCTAATTACATTTAGACAAAAAGCAACAACAAAATCAGAGGTTTTATAATAAAATGTTCTGTTTGAGTCAAGAAAAGTCATAAAAAGGGACTTTTTTTTATTTTGACATCAACATTAGACTGATTCTCAATGATCTCTGACTGAGTAACCCGGCTGACTATATGTGTGCTCACATAAAATTATTTAAAAAATAAATAATTGAGAGCAACACATTACTTGGAAAACACTGATGTGTTTGATGTTACCAAAAAAAAAAGCCTAATACAACTTCACCAATCAAGGATTACTCCAAATGTTTGTTTTAATGAATCAATCTACTGCACAGATGAGTGAAAATTTGGGGAAAAACAAGAATTTTCTATTTGGGATGCCAAGTCAGAACAAAAAAAAAAACATTTGAGCCAGCTCTTTATCAAAATAAAGATATGCTCCCCAAAAAAATTACAAAATGAGGAAACAACATCTTATAACGACCATTTAAAAAAGGTGACAGGTGATGATTCTTCGTTACCTTTGACCACCTAAATCCGCTTGTGGTGAATTCGTGAATTGGAATGTGAGAGAGCTGCATAGAAAATGACAGAAAAAGAGAGATGTGAGAAGAAAGGAGTGATTGCCGTGTGGGAAGAGGTGGAATGAAATACACAATAAAAGAAAACGAGGAAAGGAAATTTTCAAAACGAGGGGACGAAGATGAACCGATAAAAATAAAAGAAAGCTGAAAAGATGACTTGTGGAAAAAAAGGGATGTAAAAATAAGACAATGAACGAAAGGGAAGCTTGTGATTTTACAAGAGAAACAGTCAAAGTGCCACACTGTGGAGGTCGACCGATTAGGGTGTTTTCAAGGCCGATTTTGACAAATCAGGGCAGCCCATATTTGAAGCTGATTTGTTTTAGGTTCGTGAATCAAACAGTACAATATTCACGTCACAAGCTAATAAAGTTTAAAAGAGGAAAAAAGGAAATTGTATGCTCAATTTTAATTTGCTATTAATGTAGCTCCAAACAAAGTTGGCAATTGTGAAGAAATTATATATAAACACTGTGGGGACCTTGCTTTAGGTACGAGCACGGCTTCCTGCTTTAAGTAAAACAGGGGTACTTGTAAAAAATAAGAAAATGGGAGTGTCAACAGCAGACAATGAGTCTGATGAAATCCAGGCTTGGTCACAACATGCTGGGTAGAGATTTAAATATTCTGCCATGTGGAAAAAGGGTGTTTAAAACATACAGAATATACAGATGCTGGTCATAAAATTAGAATATCATGAAAAAGTTGATTTATTTCAGTAATTTCATTCAAAAAGTGAAACTTTTGAAAGGCCTTTAAATGGTCTCTCAATTTAGTTCTGTAGGCTACAAAATCATGGGGAAGACTGCTAAACTTGACAGTTGTCCAAAAGACGACCTTTGACGCCTTGCACAAGGAGGGCAAGACAAAAAGTTAATTGCTAAAGAGGCTGGCTGTTCACAGAGCTCTGTGTCCAAGCACATTAATGGAGAGGTGAAGGGAACGAAAAGGTGTGGTAGAAAAAAAGTGTAGAAGCAATAGGGATAACGACACCCTGGAGAGGATGGTGAAACAAAAACCATTTCAAAATGTAAGGGAGATTCACAAAGAGTGGACTGCAGCTGGTCAGTGCTTCAAAAACCACCACACACAGACGTATGCAAGACATGGGTTTCAGCTGTCACATTCCTTGTGTCAAGCCACTCTTGAACAAGAGACAGCGTCAGAAGCATCTCACCTGGGCTAAAGACAAAAAGGACTGGACTGCTGCTGAGTGGTCCAAAGTTATGTTCTCTGATGAAAGTAAACTTTGCATTTCCTTTGGAAATCAAGGTCCCAGAGTCTAGAAGAAGAGAGGAGAGGCACAGTAGCCATGTTCCTTGAGGTCCAGTGTCAAGTTTCCACAGTTGGTGATGATTTGTGGTGCCATGTCATCTGCTGGTGTTGGTCCACTGTGTTTTCTGAGGTCCAAGGTCAACATAGACATCTACCAGGAAGTTTTAGAGAACTTCATGCTTCCTGCTGTTGACCAACTTAATGGAGATGCAGATTTAATTTTCCAACAGGACTTGGCACCTGCACACAGTGCCAAAGCTACCAGTACTTGGTTTAAGGACCATGATATCCCTGTTCTTAATTGGCCAGCAAACTCACCTGACCTTAACCTCATAGAAAATCTATGGGGTATTGTGAAGAGGAAGATGTGATGCACCAGACCCAACAATTCAGAAGAGCTGAAGGCCACTATCAGAGCAACCTGGGCTCTCATAACACCTGAGCAGTGACACAGACTGATCGACTCCATGCCACGCCGCATTGCTGACACCTTGTCAGTTATAATCATCAACAGTAAAATAAATAAACATTTGAAATATATCAGTCTGTGTGTAATGAATGAATATAATATACAAGTTTCACTTTTTGAATGGAATTACTGAAATAAATCAACTTTTTCATGATATTCTAATTTTATGACCAGCACCTGTATACAGACTCCATTGAGTGCCTTTGACTTTTTTTCTGTTGGGTTCGTGCTTGTTGTTTTTCTTTACAAGCCCCCATTTTTACTAAAAGCAAGAAACCTTGTTAACAACTAAAAAACGTCACAATTATTTCTTCAAAAGAAGCATTTTCAGTTTATCAAATCAAATATATAATGCTCAAAAGGTACAAATAAAGGTCTTATAATTTAAATACTGTATGACAATGTTCTTTTAAAGGATTAGCATCCAATTTTTGTCAGCGTAAGGGGACTGCTGATGTTGTACTGAATAAGGCACATTAGGCTTCCTGTCTTTTAACTGACTTGTGTTGCTCAGGTGTAGCGTATGCCAATTAGTTAAAGAAATGGCAAAAAAAATCAGCCTTATTCGGTCTACCACTACTGAGCAGTGAGAAACACGAGCAGCATCAACACTGTAACAAACAGAGAGGGGAAGATAAGTAGCCGAAAAGAAACAGCTAAAGGACAGACAGCAACAGAGAGGATGGAAGGAAGAGGGAAGGTGTCCAAGCAGGGATCTGAAGGGCTAAAAGGGTGGGAACCATCAAGCCCTTTAGTGTTCTGTTTATGTTTAGGAGCGAGTCCACGTTTATTTTAAGATGAAACACAGAAGTGCACTCGGTTCAAGAATTAAAATTCTCTGGTTAATAAAAGACAGAAGCTGGATGTGTGATGTTTAGCTCGAGACAGATGGAGTGTGTCATGCTTTTGGCTCATTTCTGTCTCACACACACACACCTTTCTTCAGCGGTCACATACGGTAGTGACTCATGTCTAGCAGAAAGGGTTTCGTTTATTTTCTTGTGGTTCTGGTCAAATGTTTTTTGACGGACAAATCGGGTTCATGGGACATTCTCTCACACACTGCAAGGATATAGATATAAAAGCAGTATGTGTACCAACGTGGTGTGTGTTTAAACTTTGGCAGTATTTTTCTGTTTGTGTGAGCCTTTGAGCAAGCCAGCCTCATTACGGGAGGAAATAGTCTCCTCCTGTCATCGTTTTGTAAATTACTGAGAAAAGTTAATCGCGGTGACGCAGTTGTACAAAAAAAAGGAGCGCAAAAATATTTGTTTACAGTTTAACAGTAGTCACAAAAAATGGTTTCAAAGGCAAAAATCAAAATCTAGTTCCATCTGGCTCCTGTTAAAAGTGATGTACAAGATAGCAGCTTTTCACACGTGCGTGCATGTGCGTGTGTGTTGAAAGGTTGAGCTGAAAGTGTTGATGTTGGGAGAGGACTGCGCTGAGTGTTTGACCGCCACCTTGAGTCATTCACCACAAACTGACATTTCTGTTCCTTCCTCTCTCGCAGGAGCGTTCAGAGACAGGGATGTACTCCAGGACCTTGTCCTGGCCTGAACGGCCTCTGGTCTCCATAATTAAAACTGCCACTTTATGCATTTTAATTTTACTCAGTCCAAACAAATGTGACAGCGAGGCACAATTACTGTAAACAGAACAAACCACAAAAATGAAATAAATAAAAACTCCAAGAGAGTAGAAATAATGGATGTGACTTTTTCTTTTCTTTTCTAGAGTTTGTTTGCTTTGAACGACACACAGAATTTAATATGAATGGTCTGTTGTGAAGAACTGTAGCTTCCTGCTAAGGTACAGCCTCCATAAGCGGGTCTATCAAAAAAAAAAAAAGACTTGTTAAAACCAAATATTACTCCATGTGTTACTGAAGGATTAGGAAGGTTACAGCAGAGTTTATGTTGGTCAGTTGGTGGCAAGTATCTCTGTTAAAAAAAAAACCTTAAAACTTTTCCGTTGGGAAAAACAACCAACAAGCAAGGACTTTTATTTTGGAGGCCAACTAAATACTAATCGCTGTTTTTGGTCCTATAGATCCGGGGTTCCCAAACTGGGGTCCACGAGCCGGCGCTTGGGGGTCCGTAAAAATAAAAAAATAAACAATTATATATATATATATAGTTTATTTATTTATTTATATATTTTTTTTACAAGCACGGTTTTTGTTTTTTGTTATGACTACTGCTGTTATGATTCTGTTCAGTTTTATGTAAGGTTTTAGTAATAATTTGAAGAAGTGTCAATACTTTTATGTTCATTGTGTGAATAATTAAAGTTTTAAAGTGGTTTTTAATACTGTTAATTTTTTCAAAACTGTAATTTTTGGAAGTTGAAATAAAAAATCGTGTCAATTAAGTGTGTCTTGAATGAAAAACACCCTATGTTTAAAACTATAAAAATTGTATTAACACTATTAAAAAACCTGATGCATGCTCAGTAATCCAGGTAGCAAAATCTAATCTCTAATCTCATCTTTTGGATGCAAGACGAAACATTTCTACAATTTTTTTAACCTGTTCAGAGGATCTGACAACTTTTTTAGATTTTTTTAGACTATGAAAGAACAGGTCTTAAGTATTTATGTTACACAAATATTTCCATTGTATTAAAGAGACAAATTGAAGAAATTATTTTATAAACATGAGGGTTATGAGGGGGTCCCTGAAATCTTTCTCCCCTGTAAGGGGTCCCTGAATCCAAAAAGTTTAAGAACCCCTGCTATAGATACAATAAATGTCTTATTTTGGACTCTAAAGTGTGTACAACGTTCAAAAAGGAGCATTTATATGGAGGGTAAATGTGAAATCCTTCTTTATGCAATATATAAACATCTGCTTGATATAAAAGAATGTTGTGAAATAAAACAGATGTCTAACTGACAGAAAGTAGAAAAATCTAATCCATAAAAAGGTACAAAACGTTTGTTATTTCTGTATTCCTCCTCGCAAATATAAAACACCCATAATATATTTAAATCATACAATAAAGCCAGTGCATATCAACACAGCTATTTCTTATCAGTTGCATCATTAGAACAAAAAGGCCATTCCACCAGTCATGTACATCATTTTAAACATGTTTTGATGAGAACTTGATGTTTCCGAGAACCTGACTTCAATTTGAAAAGAAGACGAAGTGAGTTTGATCTTGAAACTTGTTTTTTAAGCCGTATTTCGCCTTCACGCAGACAGTAATGTGTCAACAACTCTAAAACGTCTGCTGTGCTGCTCATTAACACCCCCGCCATGGAGGGTTTGGATGCTTGTATTTACATCTGTTCAGAGGACGTCCAGTTGAAATAAATAAATAAATAAAAGGCCCGGGCAGACAGCAACAACAACAGTGTCCAGCCGTTCTGCCAACAGCTACAGCGGGCCATGTTTTCTCTGCGCAGTTTTCGTCCTGTAAGCCCACGCTGCTTTTTTCTCCCCCACTTGTCAAAACCAATCCAGGCAACGAGGAACATTTCCCATCTCTGTGGCCTCGTTAAGTCGCTGCCACTCCGGGGAGCGCAACACACAAACACACTCCCAGCGGTCTGAGGTTGCATCCACCAAATCCTTTCCCTTCTGAGCCTCCCTCACCGCCTGCATGAGCTCTACTGTCCCCATTTAGACGGGATGAAACACATCACGGGGTTCGAGTGGTTTGAAAAATAAAAGTTGTTTGTGTGTTGCCCGTAGACGCAGGCAAAATGAAAGCTGCTCTTTAAAAAAGGTATGTGTTCATCTCCCCTCTAAATGAAGAGTGACTGGACAAACACGCCGACACACCGAGCTGCGCCTCAATGAGCTCAGTCGGAAGGGTGTGTGTGTGCTGCTGCCATAAACCACTTTGTTTGTTGGTGATTTTGTAGTTGCACACAGAATTTGTTGTCTTACTCTAAATATGTTTGTTTTTATGTATTTTAGTTTGACGTTTAAAGAAAAAGAAAGAGTTTGAGGAAAAAGGGGCACTCAGGGGAAAAGGTTTCTCCTCCGCATGCAGTAAAACGATGACACGTGTGTGTACAAAGATGGAGACGCTACCTGTCTTTCAGACTGTGTGCGCGCCTGCTCCTCCTGGACCAACACCACCTCCCTCTCTGCTGTGATCTGGACACTTTCCCTCAGCGCCTCCTCCAGCTCCTCAATGCGCTCCTCCTTCTCACGGAGAGAGTCCTGTGCAGAAATTGAAAAGACGATTTAATTAACACTCCAGATTCAAACTCACGGCGACAGGAGTTGGTCACCTTTTAGTGTTTATTTTTTTTTTTTTTTACTTTTTCTTCTTCAACACTGCAAATCAATCTGCTTTGATGCTAAACAAACTTGAGATTTAGCTGACACTTAAAGCAGTCATTACAGCTTAAAAACATTGAATTTTATTAATAAAATAGTAAACTTAAATAAAAGTCTGCGATTTACAATTAAAACTCAAGATTTCCCCTTTCAAAGGTTATTTTTCCATGTTCCTAGCTTATGTAGAGGCAGAAAAAAGGCTTTAAGAAAATCTTCCAATTTAAAAACAAAGATTTTAAACAATATTTCACTTGGCTGTGACTGTTGGTGACCAGATTTAAACAGAATTACCAGAGAAGACACAGTTTGACTTTAAATAACACTGGATTTGTACATGACACATTTTGTGCATATATAACGTGATGTCACAGGTAGACCAACTCTCCCCAGAATGTCTCAACTTTTCTCAGACTTTCAAATGCGTAAAAACATTTAAGGATTAGACGGGTTCCAGATATCCACAATGACACGGGCAAATATCCAGCGACACAAGCGCAAGATCCTGCGACATGTACGAGGAAATCAAGGACTCCTGAGAACAGTTTAAGAGGTTTTGGAGAATCCTTTGTGTATGCTGCTTAACAAATAGTGCACTTTTTGACATGAGAAGCTGATGCTCTCCATCTAATGGCACCATGAAATACCAGTCCAGCCAGTGTCTAATACAGTGGGTTTCCAGTGGGTTGGAGATGGGCAGATTCTGGATTGGCAGCATGGTGGCACAGTTGGTAGAGCTTCAGCCTCTCAGCAAGAACATTGCCGGATCGAATCCCGGCCAGGGGTACATTCTGGGTGGAGTTTCTATGTTCTCTCCATGCATGTGTGGATTATCTCTGGATACTACGATTTCCTCCCACAGACCAAAAACATGCACGTTAGGTTGACTGGTAACTATGTGTCCCTGTGATGGACTTGTGACCTGGGTGTACCCCGCCTCTCACACACTGATGGCTGGACATGGGCACCAGTGACCCGAAAAGGAAGAAGCAGGTAAAAGGTAATGGATAGATGGTTGAATGAATGGATGGTTGGATGGGTTGGGAATCCACTATGGCTTGTGATACAACAAGTGAAGGGTCTTGAGATGGTTTCTAGAAAACTAGTAGCACAATTCTGCAATAACTGTTAGAAAATATCGCCCTCCCATAAAAAAAAAAAAAAACCTTTAGTTGTTGTATCCTTGCCTTTTGACCTTTTCTTTGGCAACATTTGTAGATTTTAACCAGCAGTAGTTGATGTTTTTGTCTGAACCTGAAAACTTTATGAACCAATGATCTAGAATGCACTGAATGTCCAACACTTTTTTTAATAAGTATCTCAAATGAGAAGATACGATCTTGGAAAACACAATCTGTTTCCATAAACTGAGCACAAAATGCTACAGAGGTGCACTTTTGAAATTCTGCACCCCGCCTAAACTTGTACACCTCAGGGTTGGAAGTGGCCCTTCACTCGCAATAATCATCTGTAACGACCCAATCCTGATCCTATCTGAGATTAGACTATACACTCATTCACTTTTAAGTGCTTTATTTTTACCTTTGAAGCTGCCCAAGCCGTATGCAAAATGAATGGTTAATAGCAACAGTGAGAACTCCACCCTTGTGGAAGAATCTGCAAAATGAGGTTTTTTGTACCACTGGGAGGCAACTCAGTTGGGTTGGTGGTCCTCAAGACACATGTTTACACTTCTAAAAGAAAGTGACCGTATGCTTTAAGGACCACCACTGAATATGGTACGAATGACTGGAAGTCAAAGCATCCTAAATGCATCCTGGGTGCATTTACATAAGTAATTTGAGCTTTCCCATTTTGATCGGCTGAACCGATACATGTTAACTCCAGATGTGAACCGAACCAAAGAAAAAGTTCAAGTGGAAGGGAATTAGTTGTAGAGTACATGTTATGGTTTGTGGGTTTATTTCTCTTTGGGTGTAATATGGCTTTACGTGTATGTGAAAGGTCTGCAAAGGTCCAGAACAAGAGACCGTATAGTTACGGCTGAATGAAACGGCTATAAAACTGAGCAGAAGTTTTGAAACCACAGCTAATTTTGCTACACTTTGCAACCAAGGAGGCACATTTCCATGTAATGTTTGAATGTGCTCTTGGTCAGCAAATTTCTAGACGTTTTGAAGGTCCAAGTTGTTTTAGTCCAATGTATGTGACATGTTTTGATCAAATCCAACAGAATCAAACGCTCAGCATTCTTTTTAACCCTTTTTTAAGAGCAGTTTTTCATTCCAAAGATCTTACGATGCTGTCAAACATGACTCCACTTCTATTTTTGCATTTTTTAAGATATTTGTATACAAACAAATTAAACTCATTACCCTCAAAATGAGCCTCCAGTAACCTGTAGTTTGGATGTCTGAAATTTATTAAGTGCAGCAAGATTTAAAACTAAATTGGATGAATGTCCGTAGCTCAGAGCAAACAGGCTTTTATTGCATCTGAACAGTTCACTTAAAAATAATCTTTAATTGTAGGTGGTCCAAAGTAAAAAGACATGGTTCCATTTGAAAGTTTGAGTTTTTACTGATTTAAGACTTATAATCCATGCCTCACACAGAAAATGTTGCTTTTTATATTAAATACTCTTTAAAAAGACAAGAGCAGAACATTTTCAACAGCAAGAGTCAAGATGCTGGAAAATGTCAATTAAAAAAAAAATACATGAAAACCTGGACCAGTAGAAAGCAATATTTAACAATATATTACAGTGGTTCCCAACAATGATCCTTGAGGAACACCATCCTGCATGTTTTAGTTTGCTCCAACACACCTGATTTGGTGATTTAATTACTTCCTCATATTCTGCAGAAGCCTGTTAATAACCCATTTATTAATATCAGGTGTGTCGGAGCAGAGAAACAACAAACATACAGGATGGTGTTCCTCAAGGACCATGGTTGGGAACCCTGGAAAAACAGCAACATTTGTGAAATTGATTACTAACAAAACTGAGTGTAATTTAAAAGCAGATTAGAAGAGAAGAGATTTGCAAAAGGTTTTAGAATTAATCTTAAAGTGGACATGAACTTTTGAAACTTTTGAACTTTTTTATTATGCATACTTAGCTTTTGACATAATAAAATTTATTTTACAGAACTTGTCCCTTATTTTTAAGGCATTAAGTACCGTAATTGCAGTTACAGTGGGTTTCTAACTTTCTTTGAGTAAGAAAACCCCCCAAAAATTGTTGTTTTGAAACATCAAAGCCTGTCTAAAACTCAAGTTTACATAACCAAATGAAGTGTAGGATGTTCATGGATCCGACATCCCCCAGATCTGACAAAGTAAGTTTTGAAGCAACTTTAATTCTCAAATCTTTTCTTAGCATTTCCCAAAACTTAAAAAAGTTTTAAATACGCATTTTCTGCTCCCTTCATTCAGAAAATAAACCTGATGTTTATCACACAAAACTAAAGAAAATGACTACATGACCTTCCCACCAATTCTCGTAAACAAGGACGTATTTTTCTTCTTGCCAGGCAGCTGGTTTCCTGGTCGGGTCCAATCTGAACGAATAACGGATGTTATTCAGAGTGGAAGAGGGGCAATGAAACGTTACCAAGGCTATGAGCAAACTTTAAACACGAGTTGAGAATCTAAATCCTCAATGAGCTGGCGTTACTTGGGGTCTAACGACGCAAAGTAAGATGGATTTTAATTAAAACAAAGTTTTCTCTTATTGCTACAAAATAAATTGTGTCTAAATCACTCTCATCCGGTTACAGATTGCAGTATTCAGACTGACACACTATGGCTGTAGCCACTGTGGTCTCATTTGTCTCAGTGACTCACATGAGCTCATCTTCAAACCGCACACACATGCTGTAAGTAACGGCTTCTTAACTGCTTAAACCAAATCAATCATAGCAAAGCTGCACTTCTTCACGTATAAAACACGCTCGTTGATGGTTTTCTTCTGTCTATAATCAAAGAGCCAATGAGGTTAGCAATTACTGAGGGAGGAAAAGTAGGAAAGGAGGATGTCGGGGGAAGTTGAGGAGAAATTTAAGGTGAAGGCGAAATGAAAAAGGAGTGGAGGAGAACCTACTATCTGCAGCTAAATGAAGAAAACCACACACTCATCACACCACTTATGATCTTAACTAGTGGTCACTTGACGCACACAGTAGACAATTAGGAATTGCTCTCAGACCGCGGAGAACCGTTCTGAAACCCAGCAGCATTCATTTCATAGTTTGTACTCCTTCTCCTGTAATCACCTCTCTCATTTTTCTACTCATCGCTTCCCTCCGTCGCCTCTCCGCGCGGCCAACCCCCCTTCACACATCCCCAGCCGGGAACGGTTGTGTGTGAGAGTGAGTGTGTTTGACATTGCCTCGGGCTGCGACGTATCACATCATGACAACATCGAGCTGTTGAAGCAGACGTTACTCAAAGGACGCGGAGAAAACTTTTCTCATTTTCTCTCCTCTGACTTCTCAAAGCCTCCTGCTCATCCTCTCCTTCGTACCTTAATCTGCTGGGAAGTTTCGTTCAGGTTGTCCTCTCTCTTCTTGGCCTCCTCCATCAGCTGAGTGTTTCGGCTCTTTTCCAGCTGCTCTTTGTGCTTCAGGTTGGCCACTTTCTTTGACTGGTCCTTCATTTGCCTGCAACAACACAAACGGCGTATAAAACATTAAGACGATGCAAGTGAGGTGTTTACAAGTGATGTCTTGTTTCAACAATCTCTCTTTTTGTTTCTTGATATTTTTAATTTAAAAGGTGCCAGTTTTCTTCCATACATCTTTAAACTGGTCAAAAATTATATTTTTTTTACACACTGTCTGCATTATCTGTCTATTCTGTGTCCAGTCCTGTCCATTTTCAAGAAATGTCTTTTTCTTCCTGTTTTTTTTTACCTATGAATCATTCAATCATATAAATGGTCCTAAACACAAATCAGTGTGATGTCTACATATAACAAGGGGGGCAACGTTTAGTAAAGGATGCTGAATAAGGTTTTAGGCCCTAAAGAACGTATTCACTGAAGAATCTCACTGATGCAGCTCTTTGGTGGCTCTCTAGTCTGTAATTCAACTTAGTTCACAGATTTGCAGCATCTAGCAAACAGTTTGTGATGGTGTAAAAAGAATATGAGAATGTAAAACAAAATATTTTATATGACTACCATATTTTTCACACTATAAGTCACTTTTTTTTTTCATAATTTGCATGCCCTGTGACTTATACGCCGAAGAGACATATTTATGGCTTTTTTTCCCATATTTATAAACCAATTTTTGGCTGAGATATGACCATTAATTTGGACCGAAAATATTGAACACTACCATTTTCAGCTGCTAGATGGCACTTGAGAAGTATGGCATGCCGTTGTATCATGTAATAGGTAAAAGTGGCTATTAATGACACAATCTGCTTGCCACAGCCTCCCACCTTTGTTCAGATCACCTGCAGCAACCATCAAATCAGCTTCATTTCGTTGCGCCGCCCCAGTGAAATGCAGCTAATTTGAACGCTGAAATGCATTTAATAAGTAAAAGTTCAACTGAGACACACCTTTGCTATAAAGTCAGGCAAACAAATAATTGTTTTTAAGTGTTAATCTTGTTAAATTCTTGTTAAAGTCCTCCCGTGCACACTCCCACAGCTGCCATTTGGCAGCCAATCGATTTTTGGCACAACACCGGCCCACGTTTCTGGGTTCGGCCCACATTTCCGAGTTGTCAGTGGTGACGCATAATAAATGCGACATATACGGCAAAACGACATATTTATGGATTTTTCCATTTTATTAGACATATTTGGACTGATGCAACTTATAGAGCGGTGCGATGTTTACGGCGGAAAACATGGTACATAAAATGGACTTTTTTTTTAAGTAAGAGTTATGAGGACACAAACAAAATGCAGACTATAATAGTACTTTCAACACAAATATGGTAATATTGAATGTGCTGTACTACAATTACTCTGCAATATAATATTAATTCTTATCAAAATTGGTATAACTATATATTTTTACTTCTTTACATGATAATAATTTCCCATCCATCCATCCATGATCTTTACCCGCTTATTCCATTTTGGGTCACGGGGGTCGCTGGTGCCCATGTCCAGCAATCACTGTGCGAGGGGCGGGGTACACCCTGGACGGGTCGCAAGTCCATCACAGGGCCACATAGAGACAAACAACCATTCACTCTCTCATTCACACCTAGGGACAATTTAGAGTTACCAATCAGCCTAACATGCATGTTTTTGGTCTGTGGGAGGAAACCGGAGGACCCGGAGAAAATCCACGCATGCACGGAAAGAACATGCAAACTCCACCCAGAAAGGCCCCTGGACCGGGGTTTGAACCAAGGACCTGCTCGCTGAGAGGCAGCAGCTCTACCAGTTGCGCCACCGTGCTGCCCATGATAAGAATTTCCCTTTTGTTCTAAATTGTAAAAATCTCAATATCAATATATGATATCAATCTAATATCTGCATTTATTTTTAACTGGGAAACACCCCCTGAAATAAACGTGAAGTTGCCCGTGGGCCACCAGTTGATAATGACAATTGTAGCAGGTTTTTCAGTTCCGGACACATTTTATTGAATGAGCGGAGGAGCATGGATCTTTTTATGAAAAAGGATGCCGACCCATATTCTCGACGTTTAAAGACTGCTGTTAAAAGAAGAGGGGTTGCTTCACAGTGGGAAAACAGTCTTGGGATTTTTGCTGCCATCAAATTCAAATCTATATTTTTTTTAAATATGCAGTTTCTTAGTTTAAACATGTGATGTGTTTGCTGTGTTCTATTGCAAATCAAATTTGAATTTATGGGGTTTGAAAATACTTACATTCTGTATTTATTTATCTTTTTAAACGACATTCCAGTGCTTTTTAAACCAGCTGCACTCAAAACTGGCTGAAGTCTTTCTGACAGTACAGCAGGGATCATTCTGTGCAGTTCAACTCAGCATTATAATACCTCCGGGCCGGCATAATGTCAAAATCAGTAAAGGAATTTGGTAAAAAGCAATGAATCAATGACGAGATGACGCTTTTGATTTCTGCAGAGTGAAGGTCTTTTCACAGAGGGATTACTGGGTGTCAGGAAGCCGAGTTTAAATCAGCGTCTGGAGAGCAGCAGTAAAAAAAAAAAAAATGGAGGGGAGGAGTAAAAAGTTATTATTTTTGGGAGAAAGAGTTTAATCCATGTTTAAGTAGTCTGGGAGCCATTGTGGCTCTGCTACAGCGCTATCAGCTAACATACCAGCTTTACTTGATCAGGACCTTTCATACTAGACATAACAGACACATGCACATGTGGAACAACCTCAGTTCAAACTGGTAAGGCTTAAAAACGTCTCCTGAATTATGACACAGATAAGTCAAACACAAGGAAAGCATGTTTAAGCTTAATGTATACTGTCACAAGCACATGCTAAACTGCTGACTGATGCAATAAAATAAGGAACTTTTTAATCTCTGGGTGTATTCCTGAGTACAGTAGGCCTGGCTGCACTGTGCAAATGTTTATACATGTGAGTCTGTGCAAAGATAAACCCAGTTTCTTCAAGATGTCTGTAAAATTCCAGGAAATGCATGGAAAACTATAAAGCAAGGCAAACATATGCATAGAATATCACTGTTTTCTTCTTCTTGTCATGATATTTTAACAAAACAACATTTTTGTGCTTTCAAAATTCAATTTTTAGTTTAGGTCTTCAGATTGATGCTTAAAACATCAAATAAATCTACTTTACTATAAATCACATTTTAATGTTACTTAAAGTCAGAGTGGGTTTTATACCAATACTTAGGCTTGTCACGATAACAAATTTTGCTGGGCGATTAATTGTCTCAGAAATTATTGCGATAAACGATAATATTGTTTGAAATTTGATGATAATTAGTAACGTCAAATTTAAGAAGAAATGTTGGTTAATTTTTGTATGTAGTACATTTTTGACCACTGGATGGCAGTATAGGACTGTTTGAACCGAAGGATGACTAGTGAGGGAGCGAGCAGCGTACCTTTTTAAGAAAAATGGAAGGGAGGCCCCTTGACATGACATAGGCTGTCTCTCGTTCCTGTTTTTCGGTTCTCAAAATGGCGGATGTTCAGTGTGGCAGTGCATTTTTTACACAAAGCTTTTAATTTAAAAAAAGCAGTAAACAAGTTCTCAGTTTCTTTTTGCAAAGAAAAACAACTTTTTAGACAAGGCATGGATTTCAACCATGAATTTCAGAGCTTTGACAAGACGGAGCTCCCCCCCCCCGAGGTCGGCCTGTTAGCTTAGCTTCTCAGTGTTACAGTGTGAGCTGTTGCTGGGCCCCCGAGCTGCTGCAGCTAGCTTTAGCTTTTTTTAACGATCCAAAAATGCAATTTTGGACAGTTAAAACAGATTTTAAAGAGAAAGGGAGGGGTCAGTGAAGAGCACCTGAGTTGAGCCTTTTGTCATCCAGTGTTCAGTAGAGAGAGACATGAAGAAACGATAAAGTCGATAAATAAAAATGAGGTTGATAATTTTCATTTATCGTGCGATCGATTTATTGTTTATTGCGACCGACTTACCATTACTGCGAGAAAACTAATATTCTTAAAAGGTGGGAACGTAATATGTTTGTTAAAACATCCAGGAGGCTCCATTCTGTCCAAAGAGTTCTGGGAGAAACTGAAATGTAGCGGCGCAGCCAGAACAGCTCAGCAGCACCTGCATGTTCGAATAACTGGTCATGACCCACAACAAAACAACCATCAACATCAACGAGGACCCTCATCAGTATGCATACCGTAAGAACCGATCAACAGACTCTCCTCTGTGGTCCACACTGCGCTCAACCACCTGGAGCAGAAAAACTCTTCCATCCGTATGCTCTTTGTGGACTTCACATCTGCCTTCATCACCATGATCCCCCAAACCCCGATGGACAAACTATCCACACTAGGACTAAGCCCCTCCATTTACAACTGGGTACTAGACTTCTTAACAAACAGACCACAGTCAGTGAGGATCCACAACTTCATCTCCTCCACCATAACCCTCAGTACTGGCTCTCCTCAGGGATGCGAGCTGAGTCCCCTCCTGTTCACTCTGCTCACATATAATTGTGCAGCTACCCATCCAGGCTGTCACATTGTAAAGTTTGCAGATGATACAGCGGTGGTGGGATGCATCACAAACAATGATGAGTCCAGCTACAGGCAAGAGGTGGAACACCTGGAGAGCTGGTGCAAAGAGAATAACCTTCACATCAATGTGAAGAAGACAAAGGAGGTGATTGTGGACTTCAGAAAGAACAAACACATCTACACCCCCCTAAATATAAGATGATCTGCAGTGGAAGTGGTCTCCAGATACAAGTACTAGGGTGTACACATGAATGACAACCTCAGCTGGAGCAACAACACTACCAGCCTGATCATGAAAGCTCATCAGAGACTCTAATTCCTCAGGCGGCTGAGACGAGCTGGTCTGGGACGCTCAGTCCTCACCTCCTTCTACAGGTGTGCAGTGAAGAGCATCATGTGCTCCAGCATCAACATGTGGCATGGAGGCAGCACAGCTGCAGAAAGAAAAGCTTTGCAGAGAGTGGTGAAGGCTGCACAGAAGTCTGTCGGAATCAGCCTTCCCACCATCACAGACATTCGC